AGGGACGTCTCTGGACAACGGTGAATGGCCAATTCATCCACTACAGCGAACAATCGCACTATGTAACCCAAGTGTTGACCAGTTGATCCTTTCATAGACGGAGACTCAAAAATATCTTCCCACACAGCCTGATACGTCACAAGTGTTCTTGGCTGACAGATATTTTGACACGGCAGCAAGTCTGGGATACGATACTACGCTTTGTTTGGATCATGCTAAAATGTTTCGATCTCAACATTTCTTCAATTGAATTCCCTAGGTTCTGAAATGGCCACCGTGTCTTCGTCAACGTTGATGTGCTTGAAATGATAGCAGGCCTTGCGGCCTTACGGGCCGCTAAGCGCGGTCTATTCAGCGCCGGTTTCGCTCCATCAACGAACCATGCTTGCTGTGGAGGACAGACGTGGAGGAGTGCGTGAAACGGTGTCTATTAGCTCATAACAATGGTAGTAGCGCATTTGATCACGAAAGGCCCGAATTAGACTGAAACCCTTCCTGATGTCAGAACGGAAGTGTATTGAGTCCTGGAGGATGAGATAAGACACCTGGTAGTAGCATATGGTGAAGGGATAACTACACTTTAGATGCGTGGATATGACTGTGAGAGTCTCATATCAGACTATGCACCTTTCTATTCTGTACAGACCGCAATGAGCCTCCAAAGATATTTACAAAAACTTTGCCACATCCCGACGACGTTAACTATTGCCCTTAATACTTATATACGAGTTCACAGAGAGGTAAGACAGCGTCACCATAGACGCCGCTCGAGCAAGGCATCAGCTAGTCCTGAATTGCACATTCAAGACCATAGCACTGTCGCTGAAGTTTCTGGCACGGATTTCCATGCTGTTTAGTAGGTCAGGCTACATGCTGAGCAAGGTTTGAGCAATTTTCACCATGTCTAGGTGCTGTTCCTGGCACGAATCACTCTGCGGTCGTCTGATTTAGATCTTTTAGATTCAGCTCTTAGAGTCAAACCACGTTGTTCCTCGAGCTCCATGGGTTAGGGGCATGGAGAGAAGCCTTGGATGGTCAACCAGGCCGGAAAGACACATTGGCCAACGCCAATGTTGGTGTTAGCGAGAGAAGTACTGAGACAGCAATTTCTCTCAGCACAGAGAAACCATGGCATCATGCTTAGAATGTAAGAAGAAGAAAGCCAACAGAATAAGTTGTGAGCATATAATTTTATATTGTGCTGTGTTGTGGTAACTCGATCATCCGCACAAGGGTGAGCGCTGAGTTTGCACGACAATCGCCTCAGATATCAAAATGGACGCGATCAGTAATGAGCAGCGCTGGAGGGATTCTGAAGGCTTCGGAGCCACCTCTTTTCCACAAAGATGCCATCTCCCAATCGTAAAATCATCTCCAACTCGTCTCGCCCCCCTCGAGATGTTGATTTAGTAGAGTCTGGGCCGGTGGGAAATAGTATTAATCCGCTCGCTGGACGCAGAAACAAAAAGCCGGACCCCCGCGTTGGCGCGATCATCCCGAAGGTGTGAAACTATATCATCAATCCCACATGCGATCGCAAGCTCGAATTGTTCCTGTCTTTCTCAATTTTGTCGCGCGATCATGCTTGCTGCGTCAAGCTCACAGCGCCGACGACACACGGCGCTAGCCCCTTCAACATGCCTCTCCGCCCAGGCAATTTTAGCCTGTAAAACCTTGCCTGCTGTCACTCGCGTCCTTCCGTCCTCCAACTACCTCCTTCCGTCATCACCCCGGAGCCTCGCTCCACCATCAACACCCACCTTCTACGCGTGAATATCTACTTTATGGACGCAATGAACTCCCGCGAGCATTCTGATATGCCTCCGGCTACATCCTACCCGTCTCCCAACGCGGCGCAAATGGCACAGGGTTCCATGCCGTACTATGGGAATCGCCAGTTGACCGCCGACGAACTTTTGTCCGCCGAGCTGTCGCACGAGGCTTCCGGACCAGGCCTGAACGATGGTCCGAGCAACGGCGTGCATCATGGCCAATCGATGGTTATGGGCTCGTCCAACCCTGGTGGCGCTGATATGGGACGCCCTTCATCGCCGGACCAACACCAACAACATATGCTGCAGTTCACTCCCAGTCAGCAGGTGGGCGTCGATCCGAATCATGATCTGAGTTATGGAGACCAAAGCGCTAGAAGGAAGAGGTCGAAGATTTCTCGGGCCTGCGATGAGTGTAGGCGCAAGAAGGTAGGGATCCTATACCTCATTTTTCTTTTTCGGTTTTCGCGTTCTGTTTTTGCGCGACGCCACACCATCGTTCCAAGGGCTTACACATGATGGTTTACTAGGTCCGCTGCGATGCAAGCTCTGAATCCGGTGTCGAGACCTGCTCGAACTGTCGTCGACTTGGCGTCGCGTGCCAGTTCAGTCGTGTGCCCATGAAACGCGGTCCTAGCAAAGGGTGAGAAGCGCAGCGCCATTTGCTCCTCAGGACATTGGAACGAAGTTGCTGACATTGGTCATCAGTTATATCAAGGAACTTGCGGAGCGTCTACACACTCTCGAGAGTCAGATGCAGCCTGCTATGGTGCACCCGGACATGCCGTACCAGGCCATGAATGAGGTGTCGCCTCCCCGACCCTACCAGGAATTCTCCCCACCAATGGATGCCGGCCCTATTGGTCGTAAGCGGACCTATTCTGTTTTCGAGGGACTGCCGGCTGGACTACCAACCACGTCTTATTCTCAACCTCAGTTCAATCCCAGAGGTTCGCAAAATGCATTCGGTTTGTCTGCCTTACCTCTACAAGGTGATGTTACTTGACTGACTTTGATAGATGCTGGCGAGACATCGACGGATCCGATGAACCCGTCGGTCATGGGAAATACCGCACCCAAACCAGGAAATCTATTCTGGTCGACTGGAAACGAACATGAGATTCCACATGGCCTTGACATCCCGGATGTGTCTAAACACGGAATCGAAGAGGACATGACTCCTTTGGATGTCGATGAAGGTGCTCTCAATGCGTAAGTTCCTTTCATAACGTCCTACCATTTCTTATGATAGCTAACTATAGGCAGTTACTATGCTAAGATTCACACCATCTTCCCCATCCTGCCGCATTCAAAGGACCGTCTACTAGAGATTCTTCATCAATGCAGCCGCGAGGTCCAGGAGGTGTTCCTGTATGCTTTGTACACTGTGACGCACACTAACTTGGACCGTGTGCTAAGCACCTTCGAGAGAGTGACCTCGTTTGATAATGCGCAGGATCTTCTCTTATATTACACTCGGCAGCCGGCCCTGGTTCGTCCAACTGCCGTCAACTTGGTATGGCTTCAGACTACGCTGCTCATGATACTAGACTGTGACTCGCGTGGGTCCGAGAACCTTGTCCTTAAAGATGGGTTGCCTAAACACTCTTTGATTCAGTCCGCCACTAAACTCGGTTCTGATATGGCAAAGAGTCTCGATCAGTTGAAGGCTAAACGGTCCTCGGATGCCGACGTGGATTCAGATGCAAACCTAGTGAGGCGCAGCTGGGTATCACTAGCTATATTGGCGCGGTGGTATGCCATCAGTGTGGCCGATCCGAGCGTCTTGGTGAACCAGGAAATAGGTGGTCGTGAAGATGAACGTGTTCTTGGATCCGTCACCGCGGGGATTGGTGGTACGTTTGAATTCCATTCCCTAATAACTGTTCTTGTCTGCTAACACCAATTGTTCTTAGCCTACTCTTCGTTCCTGGTCGAAATGACCACTCTTGCCGCCATCGAGCACAATGTCTGCCAGTCGAATACTGGACTAGGTCGCATGGTCGGTGCGAATTTGGTTGCTTCTCTCGAACGTCTGGGACAGGTTGAGGACCTCCGGGAGCCCTATGATGCAGCCGAAGAAGCACCATCGCACGGGTTCTTCGAAAGCCTGCAAAATCAACTCTACTGGACTGTCCGGCTGCTTATCAAACGACATATCTTTGTCTACAGCCCTTACGAAATTATCTACTGCGCGGTGGAGGTCATTAACGAGTTGCATAAAGCGACTATGGAGTCTCGCCCCACGACGCCTTTCGATCTCCACAGCTTAGCATTAGCCTCCATGACCTTGCTCGAAGCCACCGTTCTACCGGAGCATGCAAATGAGTGCTGGGACACGCTTAGAAAGGTTGAAGAGATCCTCGACCACCGCGCGAAGGTGTCTGCCGAAGCTACCGAGTTCGAAAATATCTACGCCACACCTGGCTGGGACTCCAAGATTCGCATCTTCATAGACTGGAGGCGTTCGCGAGCACAGGAGTCCCAGCATCAGGATTCCAGTGTCAACAAATCTAGCTCTACAGTGCCCCCGGTCTTGGGTCCGAACGAGCAACGCTCCCTTCAACATCTCGCGGATCTAGCCGTCGGCGCCGAGGGGTCTGTCGCTGCCAACGCGTCTTCGCCGCCACCGCTCGCCTCGACCGAGAACAACGTTAACACGACATCGCCCCATCTGGCGTCGTCGTCTGCGCACCAGACAAGCCGCGTAGTCGTCGACTTCACTCTTCTTACCAAAGAGGGTTATCTTAATGTCTTTTCGGGGCTGATTTACCGTCGAACTCGCTGAGCTCGGAGGCCATCCTCGGCAATGCCACATGTATTGACTATGATCGATAGGTTCCGTTTTTGCTAATCTCATCTCACATACTGTATCTGCGTACGTTTAGCCTGATCTATACCTTGTCTGTGTGATAAAAGCCTCAACGCTGTTTCCGTTTGCTGCTGATGTACTTCATTTGACTCATTACACTTGTACTTTTATCATCATTTAGGTTGGATAACTTCTCACAGAATAAAAGTTGTCTTTTTATACGCGTGCCGACAGCTAAGATAACTGTATAACAGATGTCTCTCTGATAGAGTGATACATGTCCGATTATTCACATGTCACATAATAGGATAGTCTCAACATCCTTGTCTTCAGTCTGTAGCCTCCGCGTGTAAGAATAGGTATGTAACGTGGAGTAGCTGGAATCAATTACGAAGAGAAACGAAGAGAACCTGACATCAACTCCCAAACGCAATCCGCCTCCATATACCCTCTACATCCTGGCAGAGTTTAATAAACCCATCATTCTCAAGATTTTGACAGATCCAGTTCTCCAGGCGTGCCGTGCGCTCTTGTGTCGGCGCAGAGAGATACGACGAGAGGTCTGCCGGGGTAGGGTCTTGTTGTTCGCGCCGGTGGACTATATTATTATTGCTTTCAAACATGGGTTGCTGCTCGTGCATGTGGACTTGTTGAGTTCCAGGTATGGTGGCAGGCTGCCCGAGGGAGCTTATAGACTGGATGGGTTGAGTCGGCGGCTCCTCGGTCAGGGTCAGCGGTGGGATTGAAGTGGTTGAACGCTTCAGGGTACCAGGTGTTGCTGCTTTTCTCCTTGGAGTGGGCTTTTTGGGGGCCTGACTCGAGGGTGGTGGTGGTGCCGCATCGTTTTCTGTGGTTGTAGGGATTTGAGCCCCTGCGCTGGGTGTTTGAGACTGGGACGTGGTGGAGGCTTCCTTTGCTGTTGTGCGGGATCTCTTCGCTGGCGGTTTTGAGAAGGGTAACTCTCTTTTTGGCGGGAGGAGTTGGCTCAGTGTCGTGATATCATGGCAAGCTGCCGTGGTGGACGGCTTGGGAGGAGCGCTTGGAGCGTCGGGTCTAGTCTCTTCCCCGGTGTGTGGTTGTATGGTTGCTTGAGGTGGTCTTGCTTCCAGTTCTGTGTAGCTGTTGGTTGATCCTGTTCCACTTGTGTCTGGAACCGTTGCCTGAGCTGTACCAGATGAAGATGGAGGTAGTGAAGACGCTGTCAGAGGACTTGTGTTAGCAAGAGCTTGTTGAGAGTGTGTGGATTGGATCGCAGCGCTACCGGCAGTGATGCTAGATGCACTTCCTAGCGCAAAAGCGGATGGTAGTACTGGGAACAGGGCTGCACTCGCGCTGGAGGGGAATGGTTCTCTAATGCCTAGGTTAGACGGTCCTGAGCGTGAATGCCATTGCGAGGATGTTGGTCTTCGAGCGAGCTGCGATGAGCCCACATTCGACTCCGAGAATGGACACCTGATATCGCTCAGGATTGCCAGAGCTGTGTAGAACTCGCGGTCCGAAGAGAACTTTAGCTGAAACCGGCGGATCTTGACTGCGTGAGAGGAAGGCCTGTTCACTGAGGTGTGTGTTACTTACGAATCCGTTGCCTGTTGGATATTTCACTGCGAGACAAGGCGACTTGACGACCACGGCGAAGATGGGCCTGGGATGGACGCTTTGTCCTGACATGTGATGACTAGACGTTTCTTGGATGAAGTGCCCAAGATCGACTTCTTCCTGCAATTGTCAAGTCATTGTACGGGTTAATCAGTGCTAACCTCTCATGGGACTCTAAGGCTGTGAGACAATACCACGATATTCTGGTCCTGAAAAACTCTCAGAAAGATTGGGCTCTGAGCTGAAGATATCCCCCCTGGGACTTTGTGAAAACAACATACAATGTCTCCATTGCTGAAAACATGACTCCAGTTCAATGGACCGTTATGATGAATGCTGGTTGTAGTATGAGAGAACTTTGCGAGGGACAACCGAGCCAGCTCAGTAGACTCATGGACTCTTTGAGATAAATGATACATTAGGAAGTTCCTTTGTCTCTAGTCATAGGTGTAGAAGGATAATGCAATCCGGTCTAATTATACTGAGTAGCGGCCGAATGTCATCAGAAGTCCAATGATAAAAGAATAGCAGAATGCAGTGAGGATGGCATGGCATAGTCAAGGCTCAGCAACCGGACGGCCTCAGGCAGCTATACCCAAATTCTTCTCATAGGTGTTGATTCTTTCTATAATATATGCTTGAGTCCTCCTATCCAGTTCTGACATTTATTATACCTTGGTCTCGGTGGGTACATTCCATGATTTCATCAAACATTATAATACAAAAGAGCTCCGGTATGATCAAGCGCAGTATCCAATCGGTCGTAGCATATCTCCTGATAGTCGCAGTAGAAGTTCCTATCTTGATATTGAAGTCAACGTTCGAAAAGCTGTATACAAGGAGTTATACAAAGAGGCGCATGCCTGAGGCACCAAGCCTTCCAAACATGACATGACATTCCCGGACGGAACAACATATAATCCGGACACGCGCCTGAGGCCAACGCAGATGGGCGGACTTTTTGCCTGGGATGCCAGGAACGAGGATCGCAGGTTCAGCTTCCTCCACACAGCCTGAAGGAGCACCACCAGGTCATTGACGCTTGATTTAGGCCTACCCTTGTCGCGACTTAATTTCTCTACTGCAGAAAGAAAATCGCATTCCTTACTTCAGATCTGTCCTCTCGAAGCTTCGTTGCTTTCACAACCGTAGTCGCATTCATCGGTTGGCTTCCGATAGCTCTAAATCGCGGCCGATCTCCCTCCGCGGTGTGACAATCGAACAAGCTTCGCAAACATTCACCTTGTCGGTAAAAGCCACAGCCTGTATTCGTATCGCTCCGTTCACCCTACCTCATATCATCCTCTCCTTTCGAAACACGCCTGCACGAGCAACCCGACACCCTCAGCAAATTCTACGCCGGCGCGTCTCAAACAGGACTCCACTTCCAACGAAGCGAAACTGGTCTCAGCACGTTATAGTGGGCATATTCTGGAGCTACATCGGCGTGGTCAAGTCTAGCCAGCGCGGCTCAGTTCATCCCCATAGCGAAGGGAGCGTTTCCAGGAAGCATTGGGATCAGGGCATTTCACCGGGTTAGTCACAATGTCGAACAATACACCGCGCACGTCCTTACGAGGCAAGTTTATCATCCCTTTTACAATGATTTCCGACCTAGATTGCTGACTGGATTAAAGAAGGCTTGCGGCAAGCTCCAAAAGCCAACCAACCTTTCATCCCAGACACTGCACCCGTTCGACGCTCGCACTCAAATGCGCACCACTCGCCGCAGCCAACCGGAGCACATACACATTCCACCGCGTCAATGGGGTCGAATATTCCACAAGCAATGCCCGAGAATTGGGAAGGGAGGGACCAAAGACAAGTTCTAATGTCCACGCGTGAGGTAGCAACACCCGGGAACAGACCTGGCCTTTTTGCGACCCTGCACGATCGAGGGAAGGTGCCTAAGCAACCAGATTTCTATGACCCTTACTTTCCGCTCAAATATCTCGAGGTACCCAAATGTACGTGAACTGTGTCGTCAAATTACTACCGCCTGCTTGTCGAGACCTATTTACTGACCCTGCGATGCAGCCGATCATATTTATAAAAGAGCCCACTACGGTCTACAATCAGGGATTCCCGATGAGGTGGATTTTGCATTATACCACCTTGTTCAGATTTCGAATCAACGATGGGATAAATTCAAGTTTGAAGGTTTCCCTTTGCTTGCGGAGAACCTCATGGCAAAGGCCCTGGATATTTCCCTTGTCACAACCGGAGTGAAGTGGGAGCTTCAGTATGATTTTCGGCAACCTGATGATCGCGTCAATGTGTTGAACTCACTACACGGCACACGAGATCTATTGGAGAAAATCAAACAAATACCGGTTACATTGCCGGAAGACACCCTCGAGACGTACGAATTCAACCACCTTCTCCGCAACGTTAAAGAGGCGACCTTGGTTCTGCGGAACATGGTCCTTTTGAAAGAGAATGCGTACTATGTGTCACGGTACGCGAAAGGCCTGCTCCGAGACTTCCTCGTCATTATGATCAACATGCCCAATCAGCCTCGTCTCAACGAGATCAAGAACGACGCTTTGGACATTGCAGAGGAGGTCACCAAGTTTATGAAGACCGATCCGGAGGACCCACTTTGGATCTCACTTCTCAATTGTCTTGAGTCGCCAGATCGCGCTCACGTGGTCCGCGCACTCTGGGCTCTCACTCATTTCTCCACTGAACTAGACGAGCCAGAGGCGAACCGAGCAATGGAACGGATACCAAAGGAGACTTTGCAGCAGCTCTACTTTCACACTCTTCTCGACTTGGACAAAGATATTCTCAGTGGTGCACTGGACTTCTGGTACCAGTATACACTTTCATCCGAGAACGTTGAGACTTTGATTGAGGTCTTCAACTTGCCTACCGTCTTCGTCCCTCGGATGGCTGCATTGTTAACGCACGAAGGCCGACCAAGCAAGAAGGAAACTGTGTTGCAAGAAGAAAAGGTGGCTCCCCCGCCGTCGGATATCCCTCGTGTGCCGCCCGAGCTCATGAAAGAGCTGATGGAGCTTTCGGAGCCTGAGCGGAGCTCGCGTTGGCTCCGGTGCTGCTTTGTTGAGGACCTCGAGTGTGAGATCACCCAAATTGCATTGTGGCAGGCGTATCAGAGCAGATTTGCAGACCCTCGTCTTCCCGGTGGTGGTGTTCTCCCTGCGGCTGAATTCATCAAGAATGTCAGTACCACTTTCACGAACGCGCAGGCTCAAGTGATCAATGGTCCTGGTGCAGCGACGAAATTCATCATCAAAGGCATTCGGCCGTTGGAGACCGCCTATACCTTTGAGGGCTTTCCCTACGTTCACTGCAAGTGGGCGGACAACACGAAACCCAGCAAGGCGTGTCAGCGCGCTTTCAAGTCGCCGGCAGAACTTCGCCATCATGTCTTCACGGAACACATGAGTCTCAAGCCTACTGAAACGCCGGGACACTACAATCTGGAGAAGGCGGAGTCGCCGGTTCATACCTGTCTTTGGGACAACTGCACGAAATTCCGGTCGTCTGGTCCGAGTGCCAATACTGCAATGGTCGCCGGGCATGTTTCAGCACATTTGCCCGAGGAACGTGCCCCTGATGCGGAGCCACCGACATCCAAACGGGCGGTGCTCCAAGAGCGCATCGTCCGCAAATGGTACTACCTGGACACCCCAGTCAATGAGCGGGGCGAGCCGTTCGGAGTGGCCTACAAGGCTGCATTAGTATTGCGCAACCTTGCCCGAAACCTACCTACGGGTATTGCACCACAGTACAACGGGCTTTCGTGGAAGAAAGCCGTCTTCCTCAGCCATCGTCCGAAGATCGTCGAAGCATGGGACCGTAACCGCTCATTGCGTAAGGAGCTTACCGAGTTGATCATGGTAATAGAGAAAGAGGATTATTACTGAACTCTGGACGAGAGAAACGAAATGAATATTTGGATGATCCTACCGCTTCAATGACGGCAGTTCAGTTCGTTCTCCTTTCAAACTCGCTAGTCCTCGTCCTTGTTCTTCTGCATGGCTATTGATGTACAATAATACCCTTTTTCTTTCGCATGATATCTTTCGATAATTTTTTCGTTCTTTTTTTCATTCTTTTTCACTTCATGAGGAACTCCTCACCTCAATCAAAACCGTACCCTTGGGTGAGGGTTCGGACAGAACCAGCAATCTGAAATACATGGCGTCTGGGTTTCGGGGTAGGAATCTGCTGGGTGATGCACGGTTTCCTTTAACGATGTACTATAGGTAGATCGCAGCCAGAAAAAAGTGACTCTAATTTGCTAGGTGCTCAATGATCCCAGGTCACTTATAAAATTTATCGGAGCATGAGAGCTCTTATCATTTTCATCCCTTAAGCCGCGTCAGCTGGGTATCAGCAACACCAATGGTGTCATAGGTCTCCGATGAAGTCCTCGTAGAGCAACCATGACGCCGCACGGGAACTCTCCAACGTTGGATCTCTGGGCCATTGGATCCCTAGCATTGGGCCACGGGCTGATTCCGGCAATTTTTTTGGGGGAAGGAGGAGTCCGTACTCAGCGAACTGGTGTGGTCTAAGACCGGGGCAAAGGATTCATCTGTCAGGATTTTCGGAGGAGTTTCGCCGCTGGTCGTTGGACGTCGAGGACTTGACTGTGGGTTCGGTAAAGTCTTGCAGATTCCGTGATCCGATAGTCCAAGTTCAACGCGATGTCGCTGTCGTTGGCATTGACAAGTAAATGCGAATCAAACCAACTTGCTTGCATAATCAGCCCAGAGGCACGCTCCATGGCGGTTTTTACGCCGTGAAAGCCAATGTCATGCCGCAAACGCTTCGTATTTCTCTTCCAGATGGCTAGGTTCAGGCAAATGTAGTGACAGTGCTTGGGCGATGCGAAGTGCCAGACCGAGAAGAGACCAGCCGACTCTGGTCTCGAGACCGAGGCGACATCGATCTCTGAATTAGCAGAGAGTTTCGCGGTCAGCTGTGATTTCCGCTAGACCCTACCAAGAAAAGGACAAAGGCTTGCATGGCAGTCAGGTAGAACCTGCGCCCATGGGCTGGCCCTGACCAGGCAATCGAAAACGCGAAGTAATCTCATGATTATCAAGCACAGCAACGAACTGGAGATCACCGCCACTCTCATTGGAAGACGCCGGATATTGTTCAGAGCGCTGGCCAAAGTCATCTGTATCGCTTGTCTAGCCAGTTGGTTATTTAGTGCCCGTAGCTCATGTTGAGAACGCCAAGGTGTTGACGTGATCAACTTACCTGGGTCATGATATTAGCCGAAAAAGGAACTGGCGGAGAACGGAAGAGGCCTCGATGGCACTGTATTATTATTGACATCCTCGACAGCAGAATTGATCTTCAAGTGATCTGCAGGAGCAACCTAAACGCGTGGAGGTGTTACCCGAGTCTGAAGAGACGGCGGCAGACGAGGATAGTCTTGCGACGACACCGCAATCATGGTTTTCGGTAAGCTAGGACCAGTTGCTCAAGTCGAGATACTCGCTTCGCCAGGTTATGTTCAGTCTCAATTTCAGGCGAATGCTCGCATGCTCGCTTCCCAGACTGATGTTGTGATATCGCATGCAACGGCAGCAGTGGGAGCACGGACACGCTTATCACACTTTTGCTTGGGGGCGAAGACAGGATTCGCAACCCAAACGGATCATGTGTTTGGACGAGCTGAATTACGATTGAGACGGACCTGTATCGGAATGATTCCGTTGTGACGATCTGCCATTATCGCCAACGGATGGCTCTCATCATAGCAAAAGCCACTAAGGTCGCTGCTCTGTGGATTATCTGCGTTACTGTCTGAGGCACCAGGTGTTTGGCGAGAACCTAGGTATCATCCTGCCTAAGGCACTTGCTGCTTTCTAAGCTTCATTGCCTATTCCTTTGATTCCGTCTGCATACTCCGTACTTTTGACACACTTCTGAGACACAGACGTCGTGTTGTATCTGGACTGCATTAGGAGATATGTCGATCACAATACGGAGTACTTGCAGCATTGTTTAATTCCATGAGGGCTGGCTAAATCGCCGATGTAACCTAAACTAGGGATCAGTAAGACTGTTGTCATGTTGTTTGACCCCTTTTTCACTATGTGATGCTCTTTCAGGATTCAATAATAATCAGAAAAACAAGCAAACGAATTATTCAATAGCCTTCGAGGCAGATAGTGCTAGGTACTGACGGCTCAGGTATTCTTGTCGCCAGCCCAAAAGAGTCCTAACCTGTTTCCTGAATGGGTAAGATGGGTAAGATGTGACTCGATTTGTCGAGACTGTGGTGTCGCCCCTTAATCGCCATTCACTCAGAGCTGAGAGGTTCTCCCTTGTGCTTCACTGCTTATGTTCTCTTCGAAGTCGACGCCAGTCATCTAATAGGTGGCACTTTCCAGGCTTATCCTACAAGATCAATGCCATTATCTCACATAGTATCTCTCTCAAATCAAAACCTGCACAGAATCGTGGCCCCGCCATGGGGGCGTGGGAGGGATCGAGGTGTCAAAGCTGGGCCTTTCCCTTATTGCGTTAATCTCGTCCGAGTTAAAGCCTAAAGATTGAAAAGTCGAGACTAAAAACACCCGAACTCGATGGTGGAAGGGTGGATCCAAGCTAGTATGTCACTCTCACGCCGCTGATTGCAGTTGGCGGCAGAAAATTCGCCGTTCTGAAAGTTCATGTCGATGACCATCATCGGAACTATCGACAATTCGAATATGCTGCAGTCTCCTCGTGATTGAACCGTTGAATCCCAGGAAGTTGGGTCTGGATTACCCCCTCGCACGAGCAACAAGCTTGGCTATACGGAATAGCATGATGAAGACGCCGACGGTGGTCTAGAGCGCTAACCTAGGAATGGAGACACTAGACAAGTCGTGCATATATGATCGACAGGATCGCGCACACGTTCATGCCATTGCCGGGACGCAGATTACCCCTCGTTGGAACTTGTGTCCCAGACGAATGTAAGTGTTGCACCGAGCCTTTGTCCTGAGGGGTGAACTAGCAGTAGGAGTAGATCTTGAAGTTCGAAGAGATAGAGAGAGTGTCTGTTTTGTTCCAGACGTTCGTTTTTTGACGGGCGATACTACTCCGAAACTCACCTATTGGCTCTCTAAACTGACTGTCATGCCGACTGAGCCGTGGTTCACCAACAGGTCAATCTGCCACTGTCACTGAGGTCCATTTTCCTACAACGGGTGGGGGTATCCTGGAACTGATTTTCGAGGCAAGCCATGGAAGCATCGGGCTTCACAAAAGTCAAAGTCCAATCATTGCCATAAATTCCCGGGATTCCCGACGTGACAACAATGCCTTTATTCGGAAATGGTTACCGCACTGTGTGAGTCTGATAAAGATGGTGCCTGGAACATACGGAGACATTCTGTATATGATCCATGGGTGTACTTCCCGTTCTGAACCATATTTCTAGTTACCCTCCTGGGAGCAGGAACAGCCCAAGTATTCCATTCCAGCAGCACACATTCTGATCTGGTGCCATTATTCCTTATTGGGCCTACGTAATCCCCAGTTCGGAAAGGACGAGTCTGGGCTGTGATATTATCCTTCTTGGTCGGTTGTTACTGTTAGAACTAGTTATCGAGTGAACTGACTATTTTCTACTCCGTAGGTGTCACTGTGTCAATCTCCTGAAAAGCCGAGTCCGACTTGAAGGATGTGCCGGAGAAAGTGGAATCCCTAAAAGACCGAGTACAACTATCGAATCCTCCAAGAACCAATTACTGAACGATGATTTGCTGATCCTTATTCCAATTTCTTCACGTGGGGTTTAGACTCCATCCTGATTCCTGGCATAGACGCTCAACAGACATCAGCTCCATTGCTCCACATTAACTCCGGTACTATTACTCTTAGGCTATCGCTTAACCTAACTGTCCACGAACCTTGAGACGCCAGCCAATGGACCCTAATAGGATATCCCTGAATCAGGAATCGTATCCTGAGGCCTGAGCGTCCGTAGAGCAATCCGAACTTGGCCATCATCATGATAAGATTTCTGGTTGGAGCCCGAAGGACGTACTGTTCAACTCTCTCTCCGCTTTTTTTTCGAGTCTAGCGATATCAGGATTGAGATGATCCATGTTTCTGTGCTCAGGTGGGACCTGATATTCTTTGATAATATGGAGCTTGCCTCCTCTGAAGTGCTCTCTTTGTTACATTGACTCTCAATCCTTCTAATCTGAGTTTCACTCCTTCGCCATGTGCACCGCACCGAGAATAACTGATATTGGAGCCTCTCCCAACTGTTGAGCACCACTACTAGGCTGTTCTGAATGTCACTCATTACTATTATAACCCCACGATCCTTACTCCTGCTACCTGCACTACAATCTCTATCAACTCGATATCTTCCATCCTTTTGCGTTTTGTTCTTCCCCGGGGCCCAGTGCAAAAAAGACAATGGCATTCGGAACAGCCCGCGGCCGGGAGGCCCTCTCTCTCAGCATTGCATTTACCACCTTGGCCACTGTTTTCACGTTTGTCCGAATTTACACACGAGCATTCCTTGTGAAGCAGATGGGCGCTGACGATTGGGCTATTATTGTGGCTCTGGTAAGCCTTTTCCAGCAAGTTCCATAGCCATGGTCGGATTTGTCGGCTAACCCTCGCAGGCCTTTAGTTGGGCTTTTTTCGGTCTGTTTGTTGGAGGTATGCATATGCCCTTTCTGAAGCCATGAATGGCTATGCTTGCTTGCGTTTGGTGCTTACGGTGGATAATTAGAGGTCAAGTATCTCATGGGAGAGCACTATGTGAAAATCCCGCCAGACATTCTTGTCAAACAAATGAAGGTGGGAAATGCCTGTTGTTCTGATCGTTTTGATGTCCGGCTGATGTGTACCTTCAGTGTTTCTGGGTAACGATACCCTTGTATCAAGCGAGCCTGCTTACTACGAAAGCCTCGATTCTGCTACAATACAAACGAGTTTTCTCGACACCGCGCATGCGTTTCGCCTGTTGGTGGTTGATTGGATTTCTGGCCGTGTATGGATCATGGGCATTCATCAGCGCCTGGGTCACTTGCGTACCTGTGTCCAAGTTTTGGTATCCTGACAAGCCCGGGTATTGTCTTAACAAGAAGGCCCTTTGGTTCTCCAACTCGGCAATCCACATTTTCACGGATATCCTGATCCTGGTATACCCCATGCCAGTGCTCAAGAACCTGCAACTCCCCAGACGACAAAGGTACGCCCTTATGGCCGTCTTTGCTCTGGGTTCATTGTGAGTTTCGTTCCTTCTCTAGGCCTCCACACTTGGGTTGCTGACCACGAATCAAAGTGTCTTGATAACGAGCATTCTCCGACTGGAGAGTCTCCTGGTCATTTCCAACTCGTCCGATCCAACTTGTGCGTTTTTCCACGTCGACATAACCCTGCCTGCCAAAGAAGCAAACTAACTCTCAACTCGTAGATGATAACCCAGGCGCTGCCATGTGGTCCGCCATCGAATGCAACGTCGCCATCATCTGCGCCTGCCTCCCCGGCATCCGCGCCCTCATCTCCAAGCTCCTCCCCCGCTTCCTCCCCAGCTACAAGACCAGAAGCAACACCAGAAACAACACCCGCAACACCAGGACCCAACGCAGCCGCGTCACCCAGTTCTCCAACTTCCATGATTCTATCACCGGCCGCCAGCCTGATTTCCACATGCAGTCGATCAGCCACGGCCCGGAGGGCGGCGACGACAAGGCAAGCGGTTTCGAGGAAGGCGCTTCGAACAAGATCAAAGTGACCACCATTGTGTCACAGGAATCCGTATCGAATGATGCCTCGAGTGTGCGGCAGCTATTATAAGGATTGTTCTTGGACGGTTTCTCTCTGCCGTGTATGACTTTTGGATCTTGTCAAGAGGTCTGGACTAAGTGATGATGCTAATGATTTCTTTATGCTAATTCAATATCTACGCTGCTTGGCTAATCTGCCTTGAAGTTATTTACATGCTATCCTACAAGTAGCTAATATACTAGAGTAGGGCAATTAGCCAGTTGACCGTATTGCTTATGCTAGATATCTTGAAGCAGAGAAACTACTGACGCAAAGGAAGTTAAAGATTGGCAAAAACGATGTAGAAGTTCTTTTCAAGGAGGTCTCGAGAGTCTGGGCACAAGCGAAGATTCCTCGCGTACCCCGACCCTAGCATCAAGGCCTTCTGAACTTGACGAGGATGAGGATGGATAAGGCACCAAGTCAGAGCTCGATATTACGAAGCAACAATTCGAAATGCCTAGGTCAAGTTGGAGACAACAGTGAAGACGTTAGAGGGCAGCCAACAAGCCCTTCGGGACCTCAAGAACTGTACAGACCTTCGAAACACAGCGTACCCTGGTTACGCTTCGCACGGAAATTGCACAGCTCCATCGCACGCCTCCCCCATCGCTCCTGGAGGTGCCCCATGGCGTCTATCTACTACTGCTAACACTTAGTTAGCAACAAATCCACGGCATCCTCGAAGCATGCATCAGATACCTGGTAGACCTCCCAGAAAATATCACCAACTCGGTTCAGGTCTTCCCCAAGCTGGCCGAGACACAGGCAGGTGCTAAAAGACAAGGTGAAGCGGTTCGCTTCGAGTTCGACGTCAAAAACACAATGAAAGATCGCATCCGCGAGGGTATTTCCCGCGAGGTTCAGTTGACAGTAAGTGCAGGTCAACAAGAACCACATCACACCCGGATTGGATTTACTATCATCAAAAAAGATGAATATACGCCATGATAGCCCGGCCGACTTGAACGCGAGGATGAATGAACTTGCAAACTACTCTGCGAATGCTCAGAGCGGGATCAAAATGATCGTTGAGACGGTAACGTCTTCCCACTGCTCATTGCCATTCCCGTACGCGCTTTCGAGGACAATATCTAATCCGCACGCGTCGACAGAAACTAGATGAGATTGGACGCGGGCTCGTCGAAAGGGTCACGGACCTTCAGACAGTTATGTCTAGAGTTCCGAGTCTGAACGGTGAGGAACGCAACTCCATCGAAGACGGTGTCCACGAAGTGCAGCAAGTTGTTAGCCAGAAGATCGAAACGAGCCATGAGAACATACATGGGTTGACTATTAACGGCGGTGCTACCAAAAGGAGAAAGCGCAAGGCCGATCTAGACTGGGATTAGCCTCAGTGAGGTGTCCGTCTCAACCAAAAACCCTTTCAGAATGTTTGCTCTTGTCCGTTTCTTTATAGCTAGTCCCAGCATTATACAAAGGCACATCTTAACTGGAGTCTCGACCCAAAGAGGGATCCGTGGGAGGAAAATTCCCTCTTTAAGATCGCACAGGTAGAAATATAGCCATAAATAGCCCTGGAGCAGTCGTTCCAGTGTTGACTTCAGGTCCTCACTTTCTACATGTAACTCAATAAGATTATTATGTCAGACAGAATAGTAGTATTGTCGGTACCAAGAGAATCCAGCCAAAGTCCGGTCGAGGAAGTGAGAGAACAGATATAGATTCACATTGATCTGGCGCCTAAGTCTAAATTGACACCATGAGCACTATATGCAGTCGAAGAATTAACAACACAGGAAGAGATAGAACTACTGCCAAACATTAGAGAATAGATCATCAGCTCCGCCAAACCCGCCAGCCGGTTTAGGGGGGGCGCTCGAGGTCGTCGTGGTCGTGGTTGTTGTTGTGGTTGCAGTCGAGATAGGTGCGGCACTGGCCCAACCGCCAAAGTCTTCGTCGGCGGCTACGGTGGGTGCGGGTTTCGAGCTTGCGGCGGGGGAGGCCGGGGCTCCCCAGCCGGCGCCAATGTCGTTAGCTGTCAGTGTGTCGGGGACCTTCATCATGGTTGAGGTTGATGGGGCAGGGGCAGGGGCAGGGGCAGGGGCAGCGGGTTCGGGAGTGCTCCATTCGTTACCACCCCACGGGTCCACGTTGGGGATCATGCTCGCGACGGATGCTGTGGATGTCGAGGTTAACGGTTTCGGAGCTGGGGCTGAAGCGGGAGCAGGAGCCGGACTGCTCAAGTTGAAAGCGGATTTCAGCTCTTGCTGAGGCGACGTTGCCATAGGCGGTGCAGCTGCAGGAGCTGCAGGAGCCGGGGGCGAAGAGAGTCCGAAGAGATCGTTGGAGAAGGACGAACGTGGGGGGTTTGGCTTGGGCGAGGGAGCAGAGGCAAAGCTGGAGAAGCCCAAATCATGGCTATTGGACGAGATGGAATCGGCACGGGACTGAGGTTGAGGTTTCGCAGGTGGGATAGTCGGAGAGGTAAGGCTGTCAAAGAGACCGCCACCAAAGCCACTGCTGGCAGAGGCGGTAGGTGACGTGATCTTGGGAGCCGCCGGAGTGGATTTGGTGCTGGCGAAGCTCGTCAAATTGGCAAAAGGCGAAGGCTTTTCAGCTGGCTTGGAAGGCGGCGGAGAAGTAGTCGAGGGAAAGCTCAGTCCGCTGAAGGCATCGGTCAATCCGCCCAGGTTGGAAGACGCTGATTGCGGGGCCGGAGATGCTAAATCACCAAACGAAGACTGGCGCTCATGTTGCACGGGAGGCTGGGGCTTGGAATAAAGAGACAGGATGGATTGTTTCAGATCAGGTCGAGACATTCCGGTCGAGCCACCAGGGGTAGACACGGTGCTGGCTGGACGATTGGTGGTAGCGGGCTGAGCGCTTCCGAAGAAATCGAGTCCGAGCAACGAATCACCCGGTCGTGCCGGCTTTGCGGCAGGCTGTGGTTGCGACTGTTGCCTGGGGGCAGCGATCCGCGGGGTGGGATCTGTGGTGCTAGGGCGAACCGGCGGAGTAATTGGCTCGTCGTCACCGAAGAAGTCAATAGATGCTTGGGGGCGGTGTGTGATCGGAGGTTGGCTAGCATTTGCTACTCGTTGAGACGAGGAACGCTCAATCTTTGCCTTTTCCTGGACGACTGCAAGAGGCTTAAGAGAATGTCAATCCAACCGCAGATACAACAAATACGCTGCTAGAGCTTACCACGTTGTCATCACCCGCATCCAACGTTGMCGGGTCGGGCATTGGCCCGTCCATAACCCACCGCTTTGATTCATATTTCGTGCGAATGAAGTTCTCGATCTTACTATCCACGTTCCCATTAGCGCTGGTTATACTGCTGTGACGACGGGGCCGACTCACGCTTCGGAGGGGACGTGACCATGGGCGAGTTTGGCTTCCCAGTATCTGCGAATACATGATCAGCATACAATTCAACCCGCGAGCGTCGACGGCTCGATACATACTTGTTCGCTCTAGCATTGCCCCATCGGATCACACTCTGGAGTTGTTCATCGGTCCACGAATCGAGATCCACAGACTTCACCCGGCTGATATGGGTGCCCATCCCCCTGTGGATGCCCGAGCAACGGATACATATAAAGATTCCCAAATTCCATGAGGCCCATCGCGGATCTAGTACAATAGTCGTCAGTGAAACCGATCAATACACGGAGTTCAAAAGGCGCGGATTGTCAGTTGGATGTAGGCAGATAGGAAAGGACAAGACCAGGATATCCGGGTGCGGGCACAACTCACGCTTGTTGCGCTTGCAATCAGCACATATCTTATTGCACTCGATTTTCAGCAGGTTCTTGATGATCTGCTGGTTCTGAGCAGCCTGGGAAGGAGTCGCACGACGAGACATGATTGCTGGTAGCGCGGTCCTCTCGATGGCTGGAAGAGATGGAAATAATGGTGGTTGTATTTGGGGGAATTCAATAAACCGATGACAATCACCAAGTGGCGGATGCGGTGCGGCCTGAGGCAGCCAATTGTGGATGCCCGATGCAGAGAGCTGCACGTGCCCGGACATGCAAGACGGAGTCAACAAAGACTCGAAATTCGAATATAATACAAATTATCGAGTTCTATAAGTTTATTATTTGGAATAAAGCCTTGAGAATTTTTCTATAAATGCATGTTATGGTCCACTGTGTGCCCCTCACCTCATCCCATGACCCTTGCCGTGCAGAATATCATCATCAAATTGCAACTATATAATTGTGTTTCCGCACCTCAAATCTCAAGCCTTCGACTTCACTGCCTCCTCATCCTCTGTAAACTTCAAACTAATACTGTTCACACAATGCCTCTCATCTGTTGGCGTAGAATACCCCTCGCCCTTGAAGACATGACCCAAATGACCCCCGCAGCTACTACACACAATCTCTGTCCGCTCCATCCCAAACGAGCGATCCGTGTGTCTGGTCACTGCCCCGGGGATGGAGTCAAAGTACGCAGGCCAGCCGCACCCGGACTTGAATTTATGCGAGGCCTTGTAGAGCGGGGCATTGCAGCCGGCGCAGGCGTAGATGCCCTTGGACGGGTACTGGGAGTCATATTCGCCTGTGTAAGGGGGCTCAGTGCCTTTTTCGCGCAGGACGCGAAATTGTTCTGTTTGATAGATTAGATTGCTATTCTTTGGTGCATAGTGTATTGTCGAGGGATGCTCACCTGGAGACAGGACTGCCCGCCATTCCGCCTCACTTCGCTGGTCGGGGTGGGACATGTTGGACTCCTCAGCTTTGGCACTTGAGCTGAAGAATGAGCTTAGGAATGGAATGGTGGGCGCAGCTTTGAGGGCTGTGGTTCTTGAAATTGGAAAAGGTATTCTGGTAATGGATCGTGGAGTGATGAAAGGTGTGGTGGTGAGGAGGCGGAGAAAACGAGTGAGATGTTGGAAACGCATCGGGATGGACTAGAATTATGGGCTCTGGATTAGTGAGAAGATCAGGTCGAGAATCCTACATAGATTTACCCGTAGAAGCCTCAGCCACGCATGGGGGGAAGCGAGGCTTGTATCAGATTATCGATGCATTGCTGAATCTCCGATTTGCCTCTTACGTTTTACGTCATCATGCGGAGAATCACCGCCGCCAAAAAGTATGCAGAGGAAATGGGTATATTGTAAACAGGTAAACAAATATGTCCGTTAGATGCGGTATTCACCGACATTAAATCCTTGGACATCAACTAGACAAACAGATGAAATAACTGTAGGGTATCTTAAACATGATCATGAGCTGAAAATGGCGTAACATGTCAACGACGTCGAACAACACCGGTCACCGTCAAAACACCCTCACCCACTTCTACTCTCCATCCTTCCCTGGCCAGCATCTTACCAACAGCCGGCCCCAAGCGAGACGTGCCATCATGGCTGTGGCGTCCGACTCCGGTGATGATGCGAAAGCCTGATCGCGCTGCCTCGCCGCCGCGCATGTACTTCGCATCGCCAAGAGAGTCCCACCATTCGGCGACGCGTGAACTGGCGATGCGAACGGCATCATGGACCGAGACACCATGCAGATCCAATGAATTTGAGGTTGACTGCGAATCGACTAGAGCATCGGCCGCAGCGGCAGCCTCCCGCTTTGCCCGCTCGAGATGGTCTCGGCCCACAGAGGAGTAGTAAGCAGCTGCTCCGCCCATTAATTTGTCCGATTTTCCGCGACGGTAAGCTGCTGAGGCTTTGTGGAAAGCCTCTGCACTGGCCACGAAGTGGTCGCCAGCGGTCACTCTAGCAGTATCATGATGAAGGACTCGCGACTCCACAGAAGACCTCTTGGGTTCATCATCATCGAGGTCCAATGGTGGAGGCGCGGTGGTGATTTTGATCAAGTTAGACACAGAACTGGCCGCTGGACGGGTAAGCATGGCGACTGCCAGCTCGCCGGCGGCAGAAGTTGAATTGTGAGTGATTTTCAGTAGCCCACCCAGTAGTGTTGGCGCAACAGACGGAAATTCTTGCGTCAATTCTGCAACTTGTGCAAGCATTACGGGGTGCGCATTGATATGTCTTTCCTCAGGCGCATGTGCCATCGCAAGAGATCGAATAGTTAGTGGCAGTGAAGCTCCGTTAGCATGATAAGCAGAAGTGACAGCCTCTTTCTTCAGGACAGGTAAAGTCCTAGAACAGACGAACTCGATATCTTTTTGACCAGCGTCCCATTTGTTCATGGGGATATTCTCATCCTGCATGTATCCTGAGGCTGACGGAGAAGAGTGTCCCTGAACCGGATTGTTCTTATTCTTTCCCTTGCGCCTGCGATTCTTCTTTCGCCCAGTGCCTCCATTGGAACACTCGCCAAAGCCATCGATGCCCTTTGGAATGGCAAACTTAGTTCCGTCTTCATCTTCATGCTGCTCATCAAAGAAAGCAATGTTCAAGAGCACATCCATGGCGCGATCAATATCACCATCTGACTTCCTAAGCGAATGCTGCACGGTAAAGCGATCCACAGAGGGGAACATATCTGTCAGATAACCAACTTTGTCGTCCTCAGAGGCGCCAGAGAGCGACAGCGACCCGTCAGGGCCGATCGTGTAGCGCAAGGAATTGCTTCTGCCCTGACTCCTCGTGCGCCTGTCATCCAGACCAACGGAGGAGAAGTCGGAGGCGAGGCTGGTGAGATCTGTTTCGCGCGACGGGGCAGTGCCGTTTTGCGAGCCGCTGCGCTCCGACAGGATGCCATCTGCATCACCGGTAGTGCCAGGACTCAGTCCGCTGGTTCCGGATGGATCGAAGGGTAGATCTTCCTGTTCCCATGCTGATAATTTCAAGGCGTCCAGGGTGTCGCGGAGTTGCTGGACCTGTGTGGGGGTTTCCAAGTCATAGTCGAAAACGATAGCTGTGAACAAAGCTGAATCCAGAGGAGGGCAATATTCCTTTTCAAGCTCCTAGACGTTCGAAACAGCACAAGTCCAACAATTAGCTTCCTGTCCACTCAGGCTCCAGACGTGTAGGAACTGACTTTCAATAGGCTATTGCCTATGTCACCCATCTTCAAAATCGCTGATTATATGTCGACAGTGTATTCGGAGTCTCTTTATCATTACTTGGAGAGTGAGAATCTCAGAATTTCCTTCGATCATTAAGCAGGGTGATCAAGGCTGTTTGTGCTGAGAAACCACAAATTCGTCGGGGCGGGGAAGATTCAACGATGCACCAATCACAGATGACATAATGGGCTGTTTGCGATCCCAACCGCCAGCCAGCTTCGTGACCTCATTGATAAGACTACCTAGGATTGTTCAAATGTTCAAAGATGACCTAAGATCCAGAGGGCCCTTTAGATAATGAGCAGCGTCTGAGGTACTTTGAGGGAGCATAACAGGTCATCTCTACATTCTCCTTTGGCCACATCATTCAGAATTATGAGGTTCCCGCGAGAAAATAAATCATTTAGATTTTGACTAACATGATCAACATTGCTGATACTGATGCAAGGGAAGCTTAGGCAGAAACAATAGCAGCGTTATCCTCGACACTCCGAGAGGTATAAGCCAAAAGATGACCGGAAAGGAGCAAACAATAGAAATCCCGGGCACCCGATAAGTCAATGCCCACCCAACTCACCCCTGTTCTCCGCCGACATTATCAAAAGAAATGGAATCCTTGCTCTTCTGATGACGTGTTTGGTTTCGCTGTCATGAATGCTCAAGGTGTGAAGCATATTCAAGCAACAGTCTCGTCTTCTGGGCTGTCACCCTCATCGGCGTCTTGACCCTCCTCATCGGCGTCTTGACCACCCTCGCCGCCCTGGGAAAGGTCGCCAGAACCAGACAGTCCTTGGTTCGTTTCGTCATTACTGGTTTGAGAGTCAGAGGTCAAAGTTCCAGTTGGGAAAATCATATTCCCAGTGCCGGTTGAGGAGCCTGAGCCGCTCGTGGACGGAATGATGCCAGAGAACAACGACCCAAACGGATTGGTGGTTGAGCCTGTGGTGGTGCCGGAAGAACCTGTATTCGCCAGATCACCGAAATCAAAGCCCTCGAAACCCTGACGTTTATCTTTCGGGGAGCCTTGAATGGGGACGGCGAGGAGTATCTCGCATAGGCCGAGGAGGATGGTAACAGTCTTGAGATTCATGGTGAGTTTGTGAGAGAGATTTTATGGGTTCTTGGAGGAAAGCAGTAGAAGAAAGCCTGGGTGATGGTTGATGCTCTCAAGCTGGGCTCGAGGGAGGCCTTCTAGCCTCCTTTATACTATATTATTTTGAAACCACCCAGGCGCCTCCTCGACGCAAGAATCCTCGACGTTCACACCCTCGACCAATACGTACCCCCTGCCCGATGCTGATTGAAATCCTCTAGAAGTGGACGAGCTTGAGTTGTAGTAACAGCATGGAACAAGTAATCACTGCATAACCAGGTTCATATCCTCGATTCCCTTCTGCTTGTGTGGAAGCAGTCGGTATTGCAAGGAGTTGTGTGATTCTTCTTGCCTGGTTGCCGCAGAAGCTCAGGCCAAAGAATCAGCATAACATATGCTGTATTGTATGAAGTTCAGGCAGCAGGGAAATCAACTGCGCCAGATTATTGTGACTGTAACACTGTGATGATGCAGAGCACTATTTTAATTCTGATTAGCTGGTCATGACTAGAATCTCCATACGCAGCATCCCGAGATCCAATACTTTGGTCATTTCATTGACTTTTTCTGTAAGTGTCCCTCGAAATGGAGATTTTGTATAGACCTGCAGCGCTCAGGATATCACCGCAGCCTGCCAGACCTGATCGCTATCCATTCCATTAGTAAATGGGTAGGTAGTTGCAGGAGCATGTTGGATAACGTCATGGATGACCGTCGACAGGCTCTGCTGCAACAAGGAACCCCGAGAAGCCAACTTTCTTCTTGCAAAGAAGAGGAGATGAGTGTTGTTAGATGTTGACTGACCCAAGGCTACTGGAGGGCATCGATATCGTTTCGCCACTTTGGGCATAAGGCTTTCCATACAAGTGTTCAGCTGTAGCCTGTATCGTTCTTATTGTCTATTGACTCACGACAGATGATTATATTCTTGAAGAGGATGGGATGTGCGTCTAGTCTGCACCGTGATATCGGCAGGCCATTGATGGCTCATATGCACTGCACATCGGTGGACCCGTCATCACGAAGACTGCAACCCATAGTCACAGGATTTGAATAACTTGAATTGGCGTTGACCGACAATACACAGATCAATTCCAGGCTAGTAGCAACAAAGGCTTTCCGGTTGCTTTAAACTCAAGCGTAGCTTGTCCTTTGTTTGTGTAGTCAAGTAGCGGGACAAAGGGAAGACTGAGAACAGACCATACCTGTATGACCAGGAAACTCGCCCGTGGCCTATTCATTAGTCTCTGGGGAAACACCATACTTCCAGGGACAGTAGAGAGATTTGCGCACTCGTTGGTTTAAAGTCCGTCTAGGTGAAACTATTAGTCCTCATAGCTCTTCTTTACGGATTAACGTCCCTCACTCGCTAGAAAGGGGCCAATAGCCTCAAGGATTTATCTAGGATACCCATTCATGCCATAAAAAGGCATAGAGACGCTTGCTCTCGGCAATTGAAGCCCAGCAATGTAGCCCAACAACGTGTCGTAGACCAGCAGCTATTCCTTACATCGAAGAAGCACCAAATGGTGAAGACATGACCTGTCTTGATGTTGAGTACGGACAACATCTATCCTCTATATATTCAGGGCACGAGGGCTCAATCACCACTCAGTCGTGTCTTTTTAGACACACAGTCAATATGGCCACACCATCGACTCAGTAAACTTACATCTTCAATACTGCCAATCAAAGACGCAATGCCGGAGTCCATGACTTTCGTCGCTGGAGCTATAAAGGAGAAAAGACATATCAGATGGAATCCCTCGCGTCAGCGCACGACCGCAGACGTATCCAAATAAACAACAAAATAT